GAGGAATTGTTAGAGGCAGTTCAAGGAGCTTATAATGCTCTAAGTCCAGAAACTTTAAATAAAGTTTGGTTAAGTTATCAGCAGGTCATGGCTACAATCATGGAAAAAGAAGGAGGAAACAATTATAAACTGCAGCATATGGGCAAAGGCAGACTGGAAAGGACTGGGACACTGCCTAAGTCCCTTCACATAGACCCAGAGGTAGTTGTCAACACAGCAAGACTACTTGGAGAAGGAAATGGGAGTACACCTGAAGATATGATTCAGTTCAACCCTGAAGAGGAAGATGAATACCTCTCTTCAGACTTGAACTGAATGGAATGGGAACAACAAAAAAGTTTTTTGGGCGGGGGAAGGGCTTTTGGTTTTTTGGATGCTGGCAGGGAGTGTATTTCCAAGTGCTTAATTTTTTTTGTTTTTTGCAAGTGCTTGAACCTTTGTATATATGTACTCAGAACAAGGCAACTACACAACCTGCTCTATATGTATTTACAACATCCAGCATACCTTACCTTTGTTTACTTTATACCACATCATCATTGCTGAATTTAAGGAAACTTAGAACACATATAAGGTACTCAGAAACACGCACACATGGCTAAGTGTTCATCATAGTACAATCACATATTCATAGGATATTTATTTACACTAATTAATGTCTTCATATCTTCAGGAAATACTAACAGATTATAAGTACTCAAAAAAGCCCATAATCCTTCATCACAGTACTTAAATCCAGTATTCACAGAAAATAAGAACACAAAATAAGTACTTAAAAACATCCACAGTTCATCAATTGCTCATCCCAGCACATAATCCTTTCTCAGACCAGGTAGAATAAATCCAGTCATCATAGATTGGGAAAACATCACATTATGATACAATCACAGCATCAAATTTTGCGCAGGCACAATGACTCATCACATAACGAAAGGAATGCAGACAAAGGATGTAAAAGTACTTCCCTACTTGTACTTTGAAGCCCAAAAATTGGGATCTGGACTGGGAAGTAAGATGTTCAACATATCAATGTGGAGGTGCATGCATGAGCAGATCTGGGAAGAATTCTGAATTGGAGATATATCAAATCCCTTTGTGCCATCAGAATCAGTTTCAAGAACTATGACCTCAACCTCCTCGCTCTCCAGATGAATAACAGAGTCCCTTTCAGAGGTAAGGTCGATAACCTCTTTCGCTTTGACCGGGGCAACATCGGCAATGTTCTCGTTATTCTCGAGAACGATTACCTCGTCCTCCTCCTTGTCGTCAGAGCTGTAGACGTAGGCGCCATTTACAAATTGGGTTTCTGGAATGCATGATTCATATAGATAATCATCGAATTCCATTAAAGAGAAGGATGAAGTGAGAAAATGTATACAGATCTAGATCTATAAATGAGGAGAAGAAGAGGCAAAGAATTAATTGAGGAGAGGAAGAGCCAGATATGGGTGGCGTAAATGAGGAGGAGGAAGGGGCGGATAAGAGAATGGGAGTGGATAGGTGTGAATTAGAAAAAGGTGGAGGGTATTTTTGGAAGAGTGTGGGTTAAAATTAGAAATGTAAACTTTATTTTCGGATGGAAAAAAAGGAGAAACGTAAACTTTATTTCTGGACGGAGGGAGTATGTATTTATTTTAATTAAATTAAGTATTACAAAATAATTTAAAAATGGAAAAGGTAAATTTTTATTATTTTAGTTTAATTATTTAAATTAAAAAAGTGTTAAAAAGTAATAATAAAAATTAAAAGGAAAAATGAAGGCATTTTCATAGAAGGGGAAGAGATAAGAAAGAGAAAATAAAAACTAACATGATATTGAGTTGAGGAAGAGGCATATGTAAAGCAGACATCATGGTCTTAATGAGCTAATGAAGGACCACACACATCTTAACATGGCACACTTTCAAATTATTTGAACTAAATTTCATCCGTCCAAAAGGTGGAATCGCCCACCCCAGGCGCCCCCACCCCCTTGCCCGACAAGAATGGTGGAGGATGTAAATCATGGTGACTCAGTCGGCCAAGAACGCTAGACCCGTGCCCACCGCGCACAAGGAGCCTCCTCACCCTTTATGGGATTTTTGGATAGCTCCCACACTGCCGCTTGCGGGATTCGATCCCTGGTCATCGGTCCAAGATTTCACGCTCTTGACCAACTGAGCTAAATTTCATGACATGCATGATACGGAGCAACTAGAAAAATTCAATGCTGAGTGTGAAGCATAGAGCACTCATCAAAAAAACTAAACATAGAGATTCTATAATAAAAGAACTTAAACCACCATGAAATATACAAATATGGTGGTAGATGATATGATACTTGATAGAGTAAGCACTAGAGGTGAAAAAACTATCAACAAAAATTTTCAAATTGATGACATTTAGATGAAACAAAAGAAGGGAGTTCCCTTGATGACTTTGGCTATCCATCTAATATTTAAAGAACAATCTTTTTGAAAGGTGTTATAAAAAAAGCTTTTTAAAGCTCATCGCGACGAGCAAAAAGGTTTTATCGAAGCTCTCAAAGATTAGTCCTAGATAAATGTCGTGCATTTAGAATTAGAATAATTTTAGTGGAACAATGTTTAGGGGCTTAGCTTGTTCTAGATCCTGAGAATGGTAACGTCATTGGGCGGTGGATGTTAAAAAACAAAATAGATAAAGATGCAAATGTTATCAGAAATAAGGGTAAATTTGTGGAAGAAGCATTCACAAAGGTTGATGAGTTAATTTTGACGAGACATTCGCTCTTATAGCGAGACTAAAGTTCATACATATACTGATGATCAATGTGACATGTATACTCAAAATGAAGCTACACCAAATAAATAGGATATCTAGAAATTGTCACCAAACAAGTATCTCAAAGAGAAAGCATATATGTTACACAACCCAAGAGGTTCCAAGACAAAAACCCTTCATATGTTAATTAGACTATGAAAAGTCATGTATCCAAAATGTAACATGAGAGACTCATTTTCTACTTGGCCAAACAACGCTATACTTAGTACTTCCTCCGTCCCAAAAAGTCTTTCCTGTTTCATTTTTTGCGCATCTCATAAAACACTTCTATCCCGTCTTGATTACAAAAAAAACTTTCAAAATAACTTCTACCCATAATAAAAAAGAAATTTTGTAAATTTTAGGCATTTTAGATGTCGTTAGAAGTGTTTTATGGGATGCGCAAAAAATGAAACAGGAAAGACTTTTTGAGACGAAGAGAGTAATTTAGTAATAATACCACATTTGAAAACACAAATTAAAACACCACTGATACATGGGTATAAAACGAGGTAACAACGATAAAATACGATCAAACATAACATGTCTTTGAACATACTTATAGTCTCTATTAAAAAGTTTTAGATTATACTTGTAATTTGTTTTATTTTTTCTAAATTACTGTTCAAAACTTTAAATTGATCTCCCTTAAATATTTTTTATACTAAAAAAATTCACTCATATACATGGTCATAAAAGTGTGGAAGTCAAATCAAATGATAACAATAATTGTTTGTACAAAACAAAAAATAATTAGACATCTCGCATCAAATAGATTCAGTACTCTTTTAACCATTTTCTGGATGGAGAGAGAGGCCAAGTGGGGGGGCATATTTGGAACCTCACGCCACGTGACTACAAGGACGGCTTGCCTGCTCATCAATCTGGGAGCGAGCGAGCGAGGGATATTTCAATTTCAACCCCCGTGTTCGGACACACTCCAAGATTCCATCTTTCCAATTCCGCATTCTTCTCTTCCTCTCCTCTCCTTCATCCCCGCGACTCTGCGTTTCTGGGCATTCGATTCTTGTCGATCTTGGTTCTGAAATCTCCTCTCGGATTACAACATGACGACGGATGAATCGTCCATTCCAGGTACTTCTACGTCCACTAATTCGTATTCCATTGCATGCAGGAACCGTAACGATCCTTTATACCCGTCGCGGTTCGGTATGAATCCCCAAGTTTCTTGCTTTGACTCCCTGTTTCTTGAGATTTGCGGGGGGGGGGGGGGGGGGGG